GATGCTAGTACAGTATCACCGTTGCTTTGACTTGTTGAGATAAGTTATATCCTAAGTCAGTTCTTCATGTATCCTTAGGTTATAGTTATAATGCTGAGTGGACAGATTTAAGTTTGTGGCTTAGACAGTGGAAGTTGTTGCACTTTTCGAAGTTAATTCCTTTCTTGACTGCGAGTTAAAGCATACACATGCCTTGTATTTTTAGACTGGAATGTAACTCTACGTAATTCTAGATTGGTGAACTGCACGACTTCATTTTCTGTTCTTTGATGATTTAGAATATTTTGCAGTTATAATAACTTTCTTCGTAATTTACATTGTTTAATTGGAATTCTCCAAGGCATTGTATTTACATGGAAATTACTTATTGTATCTTTCCAGGGGTTTTTCTTGTGGCGACACCATAATAAAGAACTTGAGTGAGATAATGCACACTATCCGTGTCGATCGCATCTTCTCACTGTCACACTAAGATCTGTGCAGTGCATGCATTTTGTTCTATACATGTGAGAATTAACATCTTTAATTTCTTTGTCAGCTCCAGCTGATTTGGAGAGTTGTAGGAGTAAACTGAAAGAAATCATTCCAAACGCAGTAAAAGTAATTTGTGTGGACAGTGCTCTAAATACCCCATCACAAGTGTTATGACATTTGAATATTTCATACCTTGTCTGCCATCGTCATCATGTTCTGTATGATGAGCATTTTTTATGAGATGACAATAACACGGTTCAGTTGATGGCTGGAGCATCAGAGATAAGCTTTCTTTGAATATTTCCTTGGCAGCCTCGGTCCACATCCCCTCACTTCTCCTTTCATATTACCTACAAACAACGTAATTAAAAGGCCACATCCGTTTTACAAGTGATTAATATTGTTACTGAGGTGTCACGTAATATTATATCAAAGGCAACAACCACTGATACTTACCCACTCCATCAGCACACATCCCTTCCATCATCTTCCATCTTTAAATTGCATGCAACCATTTCAGTCTCAACTGCTGTAGCAAGAGCACCCCCAGAAATCGTTCCCATTACATCAGTGGTCAGAAATTCTTCATGAATGTCAACTGTACCAAAAATATGAAATGTTGAAAAAAGTATTGAAAGAAATATTTAAAAATCACATGCAGGCCAGTGGTTACGAAGTATTTCCTTAGATACATTATTTAGGTTCATGTAAGTCTTTCAGTCAATTAATAATATGTGATTGTTAAATGGACAGACTCTTGCAATGGTGATCCATGAATTATCCATTAGAGTGTACTAATAATTGGCATCTACAAAGTGAAGAACTACTGTAAGCTGTCCTTTGCTTGAGAGGTCAATAGCTTCATTGATCATGATAGTAAAGTACTTAACCTAGTGAACTTCATCGATCAGATGCTTCTTGATGATGTTTCCACATATGGAAGTAACTTCATTCTGAACTACAGAGGCAATTGTAACCGCTAGTATCAATTCGTCGTTTAAACTATTGTTTTTCCCTAATTTTAAGGGATGTCTTTTCCAATCCTCCATACAACAAGGGGTTGGAGCCTTCTGTGTGTGTTTCTTTATCTGTTTTGTTTGGTGAATATTTATTTCAGTGTGAATGCAAGGGGACTGGCATGCAGTGGGCATTCTTTAGTTAGGTGTGGTTCTTTTATGTTTGGTTACTTGAGTGTGTATATGTGTGGGAAATATAAAAGTGCATGTGGGGTGTGATTGAAGTCTCTCTCTCACTAAAGCTCTTGACTTGTCACGCCTGTCCCGCTCTGCTGTGTTGCTACTGACTGCACAAGTTTGGGTGTTTTACCCCACTGCTTTTTGCAACTCGACCTTGGCGATATTAGATGCCATGTAGTGCAGCATTGTAAGCATTGCTCTGCTTGGGCATTCAGGCTCAATGGAAGGTTTGCTGGTTAGCTGGGGACCAGGAGCGGAGGAACTTGCTGCAAAACCGTGAGTTGAATCATTATTGTCACCGATTTATTTCCTTGGTATTCATCCATTAAGTGGACGTATTCTTGTACATGTATTCACATATAGTATTTCAGATTGTTGCGATGTCCGGCTAAATTTTCAACCAGGGTATTATCAGGGGATATATCATGTTGTATTTGAAATTTCAGATAGTATATCTGGGCTTTCAGCATTAAGAGTTTCTTTCCGAGTGGCTGTCCGAGGGGGAACCAGAGGAGGTGCTTCCACTGTCAAGTCTTGACTCCTTGAACTGGATGACCGGTGCACTTGAACCCTTGAATCCGAGGCAGATGGAACATTGAGCTCTGCGGCCAAGTATAGTCCCTACAATTGTGTACAATTGTAAATTATCACAATCGGAGCTTCATGAGTATAATACTTAAAATTAAATGGTGCACAATTGTAATTCATAAATAAGTGGTGCACAAGTGTAAATTATTGGAATTTGTGGTGCACAATTGTAATTCATAAATGAGTAGTGCACAATTGTAAATTATTACAATTGGGGTGCACGAGTATAATACTTAAAATTGAGTGGTGCACCATTGTAATTTATAAATGAGTGGTGCACAAGTGTAAATGACTGGAATTTGTGGTGCACAATTGTAATTCATAAATGAGTAGTGCACAATTGTAAATTATTACAATCGGGGTGCACGAGTATAATACTTAAAATTGAGTGGTGCACAAGTGTAAATTATTGGAATCTGTGGTGCACAATTGTAATTCATAAATAAGTAGTGCACAAGTGTAATTTATTACAATCACTGGTATTTAAAAGTATGAAACAATTAGGTTGTTCACAAGTGATGGAATAGTGCAGTGTATCTTTAAAAAAAGGGATCCAGAAGAAGTATCATATATATAACTTTGTGTAGGAATGAGCTGTCCGTGATATTTGATTTTTAAGAGATGAGGATTGGTTGTCACCGGTGTTGTGTAAATTGCTGCGTAAATGAATAAAAAAAAATAAATGAATTGTAAATAGGTAGACTTTATATAGAAAAGTTTCCGTGCCGATTTATTTGAGCTGATGATACACTAACAGCAATGTAGGAGGCATTCTTAGCATGGAGTTCTAGGTGATGCTTTAATGTATCGTCACCACTTGAAGTAAAATTGAATATACCAAACTTGTTAGCATAACAATGTGGACTAATGTTCATAAGAATTATTACTTAAACGGAGCACTTTATATGCAAATGAGTCATGCCATAAGCAATAACTGGTTAAAACTCCCACTAGCAGACTGACAAGCACATATCAGTGTCTTGAACTGTTCTTTAGTAGTATTGTACATTGGAAGCTTGAAAATTGATTTTGGTTATACCTCTAGCTTTCAGTAGTAGCAGCTCATAGAAGTTGCCACAATTTCGTTGAGATCCCAGGTGATAATGGCCATTATCACGGTGTGCACGTAAAGCCAGACCTTGGCACCCTAAAGTTACTATGATGTCAATAGAAGTCAACACTTTCCTGTTCCTTGTGACTTTGTCCTGCACTTCTTGAAATTTGGTTTTGGCATCTACATGAGGAGTGGTATTCATGACACGATTATTTGAGTTCCATTACAGTTAGATTTCATATATATAATGTGCTGTAATACTATACAAATAAACATGATTCTATCAAAAAACAAGGTAGGGCCTAAATGATAGGATGTGGATTGATAACACATACCATGATAGCATTCATAGGCACCTTTAATAAGCTATATGTTCAAAATGATGCAAAGGTTTCATCTCAAAGGTTACACTTTATAAGACCATTTTTACATTAGTGACTCTTGTCATTCATATTGTGTGGACAGAATCTGTTTTCTGCACTCATTTTCCAATAGCTACATCTCCTTGCCAAAGGCTGCATCCAGACAAGATGCAACTCTAACATCGGAACAAACTGCTTTTAAAGCTACATTTAACTACCTGTTGCGTTCTTTGTTTTATCCATCTGTATTCCAGGGAAATCTACTCTGAAATATGCCCTCACATCTTTCCATTCGCAAAATGGTTTAGTCACAAGCTTCCCCTGCTACTTAATGTATTTATTGTACGGAATAAACACACAAAACGTGCAGTAAGCTGCATCTTGAATTCAGCTATACATGAGCACTGGAAATTTGGATAACCATTTTATATTGAATCCTCTCTTTATATTTCCAATTTGGTTGAAAGGAAATTTGAAATCAGAACTTGGTAAGAAGAGACTGGGCATTGCATCAAACCTCTCTTGGTCTTCAATGCCCAATCTCCATTTACACCTAAAAAATTGGCCATGCCATTCAAGGGTTCTCCACTTCCATAAACACCTTTAAAAACCATTTTTGTTGAAGAGCCTTCGTTATCCATTACTGTGGGAGAGCCACCACTGTCTGCTGGTGTGGGAGTGCCAACGTCATCCATTGCTGTGGCAGAGGCAACGTCATCCACTGCTGTGGGAGAGTCATCGTCATCAACTGCTGTGGGAGAGTCATCGTCATCAACTGCTGTGGGAGAGTCATCGTCATCAACTGCTGTGGGAGAGCCATCGTCATCAACTGCTGTGGGAAAGCCATCGTCATCAACTACTGTGGGGGGGTCATCGTCATCCACTGCTGTTGTAGAGTCATTGTCATCCACTGCTGTTGTAGAGTCATTGTCATCCACTGGTACTAGCTCTGGAAACATGAATGGGTATTAAAAGGCTTTTAACCATGGAAGTGTCATAATTTGGAAGCGAAATTTGATGAGAACATTGATTTAGTGATTTGAGATTACTTATTGTTCAAAAACCCTGTGGGTCTACTCTGAAAAAAAAAATACTGAATACCTGTATACGAAATAGGATTTTGAATATTGTAGTTTGTCTGCAATCACCATGCTCTTGATTACTGCCTAACTCACTTTTATTATTAACGATAACTGTCTCTCTCAAGAAACTTTGCTGTTCCCTATATTATCCGTGACATTGCTTAGGTTATCGGCTGTAACATCCTATCCAACTCTCCTGGCTGATTTTCTGTAACCGGAGTGTTCATATACTTTACCAGTGGGTCCTTGTCTTCCTGTTTTTAAGAATGAGTCCAACTGGTTAATGTATCAACTGTATCAAGTTGGTTCCATGTACCATCATCAATCAGTGAGAGATGGGGGATGGGGACATTTTATCATCACCCTTTCTGTTCAACGCACACATTTAGGCCTAATTCTTACTTCAAGCGGAATTAACCTGAAAAACAGACTGAAATGCTGAAATCAACACATTTGATTGGTTTTTGTATGTACGCCTACACCACTTCAATCCAGACACATTTTCTTACTCTCTACAAGTTTCAACTGTTCCAGTCCAGGTTTCAGAAACTTAATTGTACAGGCTGAGTCATTTGTGTCTGGAGAGGGTGGTGGCTCAACTTAACCCAATTTTTATGATGGTGTGTGATATCTTAAACATATACAAATAGATAATACCTTCATATTGCTTTGACAGGAAAAAATGTAAACCTATTTCCATCTGTTTTTCTGAAGAGGACTCTTGGGGCGTCCCAGCTTGGTTCCACAGTCAAATCATCACCGATCTCAGGAAGTGACAGGAGCCGGGAAAAATCAATATTTGCCGATCTGGAGTTTTTGCAATCATTAGGAACAGGTTCACATGCAAATGTTGTTTATATTATTAATAATCGTATTTGACAAAAAGCTAGCACTCTTTGTTTATTGGTCTCACTTTTTGAGAAGGAAATTTAAAGGAAAATTAAATTATGATAAACTGGCATAAAGGGAACCATAGCACATCATAAATCTGGGACAATTATCATCTTCTAGTCAAAAAGAAACTTAATTGAATATGGATCCTACTCCATATACGTAGAGAAATTAGGCCTGCTTATTTCCCCCTTTTACTCCAATTTATACTTTTGAACAATAGCCCAAGAAACATGATATTTAACATCAACTACGACGCTGTATGATACAGATAAAATAGCAAAGTGCTCACAAACCTAAAGTTCTCACCTTTTTCGACAGTGTGGCATTAAGCATCCCCTGGAGCAGCCAAATAGGCATAGACAAATAGATGCTTATTTTGCATGCCCTGCATTAATGTTTTGGCATGTGCCTCGGGGCACGCTGGACATCTGGGAAGCATTGTCTTGGTCACCAAAGTGTGGTTTGCGGAGGTCAATATGTGACCTTTCTAAAGAAAATAAGTGCCTGTTGTCTGTTTTGAATAGGCTGTGCAGTAGTCATAATAAATTTGCATTGAACTTGTAGTTTCTTTTCAATTCCCAAAATTGTATGTGTGCACTTTCTCTCCTCTGTCCCCCCCTTTCTCCCTGTCTTCCTTTTTTTTTCCTCTCTCTCAAATTTTACCCAGGGGCATGTGTCTCTGCAGCCCCCCTCCACCTGATCTGCGGGTGCTTTGGAAAAGTCCCAGTTTATGAACAGTCAAAGTCTTTGAGGTGATGAGTGGGATGGATTTTGCTGTGTACGTTCAAACTGTCCACTGTTTATCACCGACACCTGAGTTAGTTTGAATAGACACACACTAGTAGTAGGGAATAGCCGATTCTGGACCACACGCCCCTTTCACCCCCTTTCACCCACACGCGCCGGGGATTTCCACTTCACTGACCTTGAACTTTTCCTGTAAACAACTCGTGACTAGCACCGATCGCACCAGCAGTTACAAACAAAAAAGGGACTTCCCGTCGACCTGAACTCGTGACCTTGACTCTGTTCAAAGCAAAACACGCTATATTTACAACCGCCTTAAATAAATGCTCTTATATATAAAAATAATAGTATTTAAAAGAACATGTTGAATAAAAACGAGAACAATTTTAGAAACCTATATATAAATAGAACCATGTCAAGTCAAATATATATCGTCTCAAATGACCACGAGCGCCTAAATGGCAACCGCAACCCAAAAGTTACCTATGGCCCCTTTGATCCTAAATATTTAGTCATTTTAAGACCAACAAAATGTTTTTCTAAGATCGCTTATCACCACAAGGGACAAAAACAAACAACTGTTGATTAGACTCGAAGACCCTTGTTACGGAGTCAACCCAGTTTACAAATATGTTACAAAGGAACCTACTGGTCAAGATCAAATTTGTTATCAGATATCTCCCGAGACTGAATCGTTGCTATTACGTGTAAATGAAAACTTACCAGATAAGATGTTACAAGATCTCCCCGCGAGTACGCGTAACTCTTTTAAAGTGTCTCAAAAACTAGACGACCTACCCGATAGGATCAATTGCTTAGTTAAACCGGCTTTTACCGATAAAAGTAGGATGTATGTTAAGATCGACTATGATGCCTCTTTGCTGGATAAGTCGTTTAAAGAAATTGATCGCGCTCTTTTTGTAAATACAAAATGTCACGCGGTCTCTTTGATCTCTCTTAGAGACATTTATTTTGGTGCTCACGGTTCTCTTTCTGGAGCGAGCGTTAGATATCGGGTCACGGCGGCTATGCTCACGGTTAAAGAAAAACCTTGCTTTTGGGAAGCGTTAGGGGAGAACGAAAGCGAGTGAAGAAAAACCGCTAGGGGAGAATGAAAGTGAGTGAAAACGAGTATTATCAAAATTTAACCTCGGTTATTCCTCGGAATAACTGGGGTTTATTTATTTTTTTACCTTAAATAAATGATTTATTAATAATAGATGACTGATGCGGAACTTTGCCACTTGCTGAATCTAAAGGAGGTACACATAGCGGGATCTCAAAAACAAAGTAAACCGATACCAGCTTGTAACCACCAAATACTTGAAATGGACGAAAGATATGCCTGTAAACGTTGTGGTTTAATTCTTGGATGGGTTTCTTCTTACACCCCCGCAGACATGGGAGATCGATACTACAAGCATCACGTTTGGAGGAAACTGCCGCCACCAAAATCGAGAAAAATATAACATTTGTTTTAAAAACGGCGAAGCGGGTGAAATAGAATATAAGTTAAACCAAGTTTTAAACGGTAAGATCTCTAGAGGTAAACCGTTGAAGGCTTTAATCGCGGTGTGTTATCAAGACACAACTGGGGAAACCGAATCTAAAGTGAAAGATCTATTTCAAGTTTCGGATAAGCACTGGGAAAACGCCCTCGATAAATTAAACCTCGCCAAACAAGATTTTTCAAAACGTATATAATAAAATGGAGACTCACACGTTTTACTTAACCGAGAGCGAGCAGACGTTTAAATTGAGAGATGTCATCAACAACACCAAAGGTGACAAGGTCATCAGAGTAAAGAATATTCCTTTTGAAGCTGGATATTTTAACGTAACAAACGCCACTGAAATTGAGTGGGATACAAACTTGGACGGTAGGCCCGCGGGAGTACTTGGCGAACGACCGCCCGGAATACCCTCAGTGGAAAGAACGGACGCATCTCCCTATTCAGAATTAGTACAAACAGCTAAAAACAGATTGATCCAAGCAAATAAAAGAGGCAATTTAGCGGAAAAAATTAGATTCATCGCTGATGAAATTGAGCAGCTAAACCAAGAAATCGCAACTTTAGAAGATCAGTTAAACCAAATACAACCATTAGAAACGCGAGCTCGTTTAGCTTTTGATAAAAAAGTAAAATCAGCTTCACTGCTCGAGGGACAAAGACAGGCTTTTGATGAAATCTACGAAGGGAATCCCCCAACTCGACCTACCACCAACCCCCCCGTAACACCCACGAGACCCAGAAGAGAATTAACTAAAAGACTGTTTTTGACGGGGCTAACTGAACCTATATACGACAGACTTCATTCGCGAAGCTCATCTGAACCATTACCCCAGGGCCAAAGAGGAAGCATCGTGGTATCCCCCGGTTATTATAGCATGGACTGGTTTCACTTTTTGTTAAACTCGATTCCGGGCGTTTCTTTTTAGGTTCACTCAGAATCTAAACGGGTGACTTTAGCCATAACGGACCCCAATCTCAAGTTGC